AGGGAGCCATTCCAATGGGTATGCACCGATCGTTGATGATGTCTCTCGAGGTGGTGATTTCTACACGGTGGAGCTGGTAAATGCCGCCGGTGATAACTTGGCTCCACAGCCTCCTATGCCCTCCGTGTACAAGATGATTGTTATTGTCATGCTCCAGAGCGGTTTCGAACCAGGTTTCGAAATAGTGAAGCACTTTCAAGGAACTATCGAGCCTATTCAGATCCCTACCAAATGAGCAAAGTTTGGTTTGGGGTATGTCCCCACAGATGCTGACGAAGCAGAGATGAAGTACAAGAGTATTGATCAAGTATTGGCCAGGCCAATACCTCATCTGTACCAGTCATTTCCGGTACAAGAAAATGTCAACGATGGTGGTCTAGGGGAAGGAATCTGGGGCCTTTTTGAGGAGATTGATGCGGTCATTCTGGAAGAAGCTGGGACATCAGGCATCCGTGATGCAGAACCTGATGAGCAATTGCAGAACTGGGCCTCCACACCACTCCTGATTTCCCGCTTATCTGGGTAGAAAAGACATGCGTTTTTGTTTGATTTAAAATTGGTGGTAGTCCGAAAGAGGCCCAAGACCCACAATTTATGCAATTGTTATTTGTTTGAAGCTTTTAAATTCCCTTGTGATGGTTAAAAAGGCAAAATGGCCCTCGGCCATGGCCAAAGTTTGTGCTTGTCTTTCAATTTAAATGAAAATCCTCTTTTATCAAATTTTTTTTGTTTATTTATCTGTTTATATTTTACTTTTCTAACTTTGTCTGTTTATGATTTCAGTAATTATAATTTAAAACCTGCCAATGTCATTGATACGCTCAAATTACACCTCCTTAAAGAAGTATAAGCGATCGTTATCAAGTAAAGAACCCAACTTGTAGGTTGGGGTCAATCCCACGAGGAAAATGGTTTAGATTTTGCTTTAACCAACAATTATATTCAATTAGCCAAAGTACTTCCAGAAACAAGAAATAAAAGGGGGGGATTTGTGAAACAAATTGTAAGAGTTCAGTAAGTAATCAATAAACAAAAGTTAATTTCGGTTTTTATCAAGATGAGAGAATTAACTAGGGTATCCGTGTTCACCACAGGCTCATAACGCAGTAATTCTAGTAACATCAATTCTTTCCTAGTGTATTACATGCAAAGTGATAAGTTAGGTATTTCTAAATCCTTGATCCGGCATCTAAAGAATTTCATCCCGCACCTTGATCCAGCTACGTGTGTATAATTTACTAACTCTTACATTTACA